GGTCTTGTCAGGGTTTAGCTGGTGGCCACAGCCACAGAGGTCTAAACCAGGTAGCCACAAGCCACAGCAGAGCCAGGGAACCATAGCTGGGCTTGTCTGTGCTTATCCAGAAATAAAAAAAATTAAAAGAAGTGGAGAAAAGCCACTGATCTCTGCAGAGGGGATTAGGATTTACTCTCATATCAGGTGAATTCAGGTCAATGAGAAGCTGAGGCCAGATTTTATCTCAGCTGATAATAAAGCATCCTCTTCTCACAACTAAAAGCAGGGATACTGTACATACCCTGTTTAACCTGACTCACACATCCAAGCTGGAATTGCTATATAACTGTACAATTACTAATAGCATCTTTTTTCTATTTTTTATTCCTCTAACATTACTAGGTTAAGAGTCTGTAAGATTATATTCCCCTAAAATATTATTATTAAATCATAAAAAAGGAAAAGGGAGCTGTGTGCCTGGAAAACCTATTTGGTTCTCAGCATTGGCATGGCTGTTCTGCAATTATGGGCAAAGGCCTTAAAAATTTTGTCTCAGTTTGCTGAACCTTGAAATGATGATAACACAACTGCAGCTCTGGGAAGTCTGAGGCTCTAACTGTGCCTGGAGTTTTTTATACACAGGATGTGAAAAGTTTAAAACATCACTAAGGCATCATCTTTTATATTTCCTGTGTGCTCACTGCTCTGCACTTGCAAATATGATATTTAGTCGTCTAAGAAGTGATTAAAAGCACTTGAAGATACTTATTAACATGATATTTCTCCAAAGAATGAGACTGTGTGCCCTTTAGCAAATGAGTAAATACAGATTTAATGACTCTTCATATGATTAACCCTAATAAATTAAAAAAAAAAAATGTTTAGGATGAATTGTACTGAAAAGGAATATTCTGATTCAGTAAATTTAAGAAATTAATTATTGTTATGACTGCTGCTGGTGAAAACTCAGCAAAGCAAATTTATCAAATGAATACGTAAAAATAACATTTTTACAAGTTAAACTTATTCTTAACAACTAGTGTTAAAAATTGATGAAATCAAACTGCTACAATATAGACAGTTGTTGGGCTTTTTTATTGTTTTTCTTTGTTTTTTTTTTATAATACCCCTGCCATCATCATCAAAATAGCATTTTGCACAACAGAAAACACTCCATATATGTGTTTTGTCCCACTAGGGATATTTAAGGCTAAAATAGCTGTTAATTTGCACCTGATGGTGACATGTTTATTTTCAGAACAAAATGTAAACGTTTTCTAAGATGTGTCATATTCGTTTCACACATTTCATGAAACACTGTGGGCATCTGTTTATTTGTAATTTTTGCATAATTTGGCCATAATGTGCTTGATATTTTTCCATGCTTGCTTTCCAAGGGAGGAAAAACATGCAATATACAGAGTATTTAATGCAACATGTCCTTTTGGCAGAAGCTGAACTTATTAAATTTGTCTTTAGATGGCACCTACTTTAGTTCACTAATTTGCCCCTTTCTATTTCTGTAAGAGTTTGATTACTTACTTGACTTATTTCCCATTTTTTCCCTCCTGACCACTGTTATTATGGCTGAGACCTTCTCACGTGTTGCCTAGAAGCAACCTTAACTCCACCTGGGATAACTGATGATGTTTCCTGAGCAAAAATACCTTGAGAGAAATGGTCATTTGGGAATAAACCTGAGCTCCTCTGGAGACATCTGTTGGTACATGGGGGCAAGGTAAGGGGCAATAACTCATGTATGGATAATAACCAGGCTTCCCCAAGCCCTCGTGATAATTTGAGGGGAAGCTGTGACTTCTTTCATCAACCCTCTGCTCATTCCTTGCAGACACACTCTTGCAAGATCGTCCCTGCACATTAGGCAGAAATGGAGGTGACAGCTCTTTGATTGCCACCAAATCAACCTATAAGTTGAACCCTGAGTATCAGCAAGATCAATTTTCAGTAGAGCGACCCACAAACCATAGAGGGAATGGAAACACTAAAGGAAACGAGCATAAATAAGGAGTGCTGGAGGCTCTGAGCTTTGTTAGGTGGTACCTTTTTTTCTAGCTGCAAGTGGATGGGTGCTGAAGTTAATCCAGGGAAGGTTTGGAGGAAGATTATGTTCTTGTGTCCATCAGTAGGACTTCCCCAGCCTTTCCCTTTGGCAGGAGATACCTGTCTGTCCTTACCATACCACAGCTGCCCAGAAAAGGGCTGAAACCCTCTTGTGGGGGACACCAGGCTGTGCTGGAGGCAGGGCTGCACCCACACCTTGTGTCCCTGCACTGACCTGCTGCCTGCCAAACCTCCAACACCCTCCACTCTCTGCTGCTCTAGTTTGGCAGAAAGCTCTCCTCCTCCTCTCCAGCCCCAGAGATCTGCAGCCTTCCCCTCTCACACCCTCCAGCAGTCCCATATCTGACCCAGCCTCCTCACACCATCACTTCTTGATGCCTTTTGGTATTCATTACTCGTACCAGTGCACCACTCTGCAATCTAAGGCTAAGGCACATTTAATTCATTTTCACAAAGGATTATCTCACAAACCTCAGATCCAAGAAGAAACCTGCAGGAGAGGAATATCCAGCAGACAAGCAAGTCCATTTAACAAATAAGACAAACTGAATCAGAGACCTGCATCATGTACAAAACCAATCAATAACCACTAAGCACTACCATAAGTACCCACTTTCCTCTCTGTCTCAGACTAATATGAATCAACTTCTATTTGGTTTAGGAAAATTCTTTTTTTTCCTCATATTTAAGCCACAAAACAGTGTCAATACAGGCTTTGACAGCAGCACTTCCCAAAAAAACAGCCTAAGGATGGAAGAAATTGTTCTCAAAAAACAGGTTCTGAAGAGTTGTCTTTAAAAGTGGGCAGGAAAGACAGCTAAAAGAGTGATTTTCCCCTAATTAGCAGTTCCAGATTATCTTGGTTAATGCACAGAAGGCTGGAGCTGGGACTGGATACAGACCCAGATGTCTCCTTGCTTATTCAGAGCTTATCAGAACACCCTGAACCTTCAGCCTTGCAAATACTGAGCTGGAAAAAGCAGAAAGAGCTCTCTGGGAATTTTTTCTGTTGCTGTTGTTCATTTTTACCTGTGGTTGGGCCACAAATACTTCAAAGATAGATTTTCTTGTGACATTTGAAGTTTTGCCTCGGGTGGCTGCCAGACCTTGAGCTCTATGGAGATAGATATTTATGGGCTCAGAGTTTCAGAAGATCTCTGCTTTCATATAGTCACTAAAATAAATGACCTGCTTTTCAAAAGAGGTCTCATTGCTGAAAAGGCACCCAGCCTGGTGTCCCACAGGGGGCTGGTAAATTCAGAAGTCCCTTTGAAATCAGGATCCAATTGTAAGTGGTTTCCTTTTTCAGTATCTGGCCTGAAATATTTTGAGCTAGAATTTTATGTGGTTTCTGAAACACAAAAAAAGTCAGTAAACTCTTTAAGACATAAAATTAAACTGTAGAAATAAATATCCTGATCCTCCAGTTCAAAGAAAAAAAGAAGAAATAGAAAAGTCTCTAGGACCTCAGTACACCAAGGTCTACAGAAGGATAATTATCATATTTGTCACATGAAAAAAATGCAAATAGAATGGAGTCAAAGGCTGAGGGTTAACCCAAAATCTGCATTTACCTTGCATCAGGTAGGGCTTCTGAGTCAGAATGTGAACCACAGGCCCTGATGGTTCCCCTACAACCCCAGTACTTGTCCATCAAGACACACTGTCCCATTCCTAAAGCAGTTCTTTCAAGAACTCCTTTATTTTCCTTCCAGATGTGCTCTACTGTTGCACAACTGGCTCTCACTATGGGCCATGCTGGATGCTTTCCTGATTCTTGGAGATCTGGAAAGCTTTGCTGGCTTTGGCTTACAACGTGCAAGGGAAAAAATTGTTCATCCAAATCTTTCCACCCAGTCTCACTCCCAACAACTAAGCCTTTGTATTTTGACCACAGGGAGATGTCAATGGTGATGCAAAAGGGATGCTGCCAATAGCTTCAGCCTTTAATCTCCACGCAGAACATTAATTGCATTCCACAGACCTAGGAAGAAACCTCCACTGGCTGCTTGAGATCCAGGATCTATGAGCAAACTGCTCTGACCAAGAAACCAGTATGCAGAAGGAACAGACTGCCCAGCTGATCTGCCAGTTGGGACTTTGGGATGAAGAAAAGGGGAGCCTGGGAGAAGCTGAAAACTCTGAAGAGCAGGACAGCATCAGGAGCCACAATCTAACAGCCAGGTGATTCAGAGCAAGCAGCCCCCTGTCCTTCCTGACTGTCGTGCTTGGTTGGTACTGCGTTGTGAGCTTCTCATTGCAATGTAGTTCCTAAAAGCACTGAAACCTGAGTCACTAGATCCTCAAGTAGGAAAGGCCACCTTTAACCTTCTGCTTATTTATCCCTGAACACCTCCGTGAGTTCCTCCCTGTGGACCTGCTGACTGTGAGCTGACTCAATGGGTTGCCCAAGGTGGTGGTTGAGGCCCCATCCCTGGGGGTCTTTAAGGCCAGGCTGGAGGAGGCTCTGGGCAGCCTGATCTAGTGGGAGGTGTCCCTGCTCATGGCAGAGGGGTTGGAACTGGGGGATCCTTGTGGTCCCTTCCAACCCTGACAGATTCTGATCTGTTTTGGCAGAGGACTTTGGAGCCCTGGTGGCTCGGTGGTTGGACTTGATGATCTTGGAGGTCCCTTCCAACCTAAATGATTCTATGATTCTATGATTCTATGATTCTATGATTCTATGATTCTATGACCAGTACTGGGGCCACAGCACACCCATAAGGTAGGCTTAGATGTGGTGCAATCCTGCTGCTTTCAAGCAGCTGCCTTCTCAGCAGTGTGCAAACATCTCTCTGGAGTCAGGTCTACCCAGCCACCACTATGCTTGACATACAACACAACATCAGAAGATCCTAAAATCATCAAGTCACTAAGAAAAGATGTTCTAGCTACTGTCTACTGCACTAGAAGAGCTGTTCACAGGTGGCACTTACCTAGCATCCCTTTGTTGGAACTGGATAAGCACATATCCTTCTCAGCACTGGGAAGAACAAATCCAACCACAAACACCTCCACCCCATCTGCCATCAGTGCCAACCCTAGAACAAAGAAGAGGGTCCACTGGAAGCGTCCATGGCCACACTCCTCAATGATGTTCTCATACTGGTGGGCCAGTTGCTCCTCATCCTCCATCCTCTCTGCCATAAGGTCAGCACGGTCTCTGTACTCATCATCCACGGCAGGAGCTCGTTTCTTCTGCTTTTCTTTAATGTCATCTGGGTGTGGGATCCCTTGGTACTCCCCCTCATAGACCTCATCATCTTCATCATGGCCTTCTGTAACATCACTCTGGGCATCTTCTTCTTGAGCAGGCTCATCCCCACCACGGTTGTAGCCATCATTGGGTGCATATCCTTCATAGTTACCATCCTGGTACCTGTAGTCATCTTGGTTTGCCTGCCTGCCTCCTTGATAGAGGTTTGTGTTTCTATATCCATCATCCATTCTGAATGGAGATTTCTAAATGCTGCAAATCACTGCTTGTAGCCACTCTAATCTATATATTGCTTTGGGTAGTTTCTGGTATTGGCTACTTGAACATATCTTCTCTCTGTTCTTTGGAACTGCTGAGATACACAGCTTCCCAGGGTCAGAAGGAGAATTACTATATAAAGTTTCTCTTTGACAGAGTCTCACACAGCTTTTGAAAATGCTTCACTTTTCAGCTGCCATTTGGGACTTGCTGGCTTGTTCTGCACGTTGGGTGGGAAGAGCTGCTGGCTGGTGAACAGCAAAGGAACAGCAAATTGCACAGCCAGGGAGCTAGGAGGATTTGACAGGTCTTTCTTGATTCATTGTGGTGGTGAAGGTCATGTTCTGGGAAAGAAGAAACAGCTATGAGACAGCAATAAGGTTGCAAGTACACATGCACTGAGTTTAATGTTCAACATTTTGAACCCACATTTTTCCATTGAAAACCAAAAAAATGGCAAGAGAGTGTTTAAGGAATGTCTTTGCACCATCAAAACCCAATGCCTCAGAACAAAAAATGAAAAATTAACAGGTTAAGTGAGAACCTAAAGAAGAATGTCCAGTAATGTGTGGTTGCAGTTCCTGTCGTTCACAGAAGTCCTGCCTCCCACACATGGTCACAGTTTCTACAGAGAGCAGGACACTAGGAGGCTGCACTGCTGCAACAGAGCTCTCAGGTTGCTGAATATGCTTCTTTTCACCTACCTGGAGCACACTCATCCCTGGTACCTACCTGCTAACATCGTAATGACACAAAATATGAGCTTGGCTTTCTTTTTCATCCAGATTTCAGGCTTAATTTTATTTAACAGATTCTTTTTTCCCTAGTATCTCTCTGTCTGTATGACAGATGTACAAACACACACTGTCTGCCAACATAAAGTCACTGAAAGTCACACCAAGCTCTGTTCTTCCCATACCTAACCATCAATGGGGGATAATTTTCACAGAGAGCAAAAAACACAGCTAATACAGAATCACTCCGCAGGGAAAACCGAGGGAAGCCAAGTCACATCTAAACACATTTCCATTTTGGACACCTGATTTTCATTATTTTCCAAGCCATTTTCAGCCAGCTGCCTCTCGAGTGGTCTCCTGCATTTGTTGCTGCACACAGCTGCAGACAAGGAGTTTGAAAGGAGACTCACATGGGAGCTGAGTCGAGTCACGCCAGAGGAGCCCGCAGCGTGGGCATGCACAACGTGTGGACTTCACTTTCAGCTTTGAGTTGCTTGTCTAAATACAGTGTAAATGAGCTAGGAAATGACACAGGCAGGCACATGGCTGTGTGCATGTGGGTGTTGCTACCTACATCACCAGCTGACCTATAGAAGTGTACAGAAATGCACACACTGTGAATTACAGTACTACCTCTGCACTTCGGGATCTTACTTGGCAGACAGCATGGGTTTCAACAACATGCAGCTAAAATGACTTCAGAGAAGGAATTCAGTAGAAGCCCTCTCACAAAATGCTCAAAAAGGCATCAGTCCTTCTGCAAACGCTGTGATTTTTGGCAACTCAAACATCCAAGAGAAAGAAAGAACAGATGCTTGACTTCTCTGCATGGAGTCACGACTACATTGTTCATGTGAAGCTGCTCCAAGAAACTTCATAAAAGCTTCCCCTGCATTTCTGTCTAGCTACCCATATATCTATGGCACCAAATTGTGACACAGCATCTCTAGGCTCTGCCAGAGCATCTTCCTTTTCTCTGCCCCCTCTGCCATTTGTCACTGGGCTCAACGTGGTTCCTCTGCCCTTTCTCTGTGCTGAATCACACAATACATTTTGCATGAAGTTAAAAAGGCTGCAGGGCATTCTTCCAGGGCTGGGGAAAAAAGCAATCAATAAAGTTTAAATAAATAAATAGATAAATAAATAAAAGAAACCCAAACTCATTCTGATCAGTGCAGGTAGGGAAAAAGGAGGATTGGCATCTGCAATGGAGGTGTTAATGTGCAGGGGAGTTAAGACATCTGCCAGCCATCAGAAGCACTGAAGTGGGTTCCACAGCTCTTGTTTCAATGCTGGAGTGTCACCACTAATGGTTAAAAAATCCAAGAGTACTTTTGAGACTCAGAACTTCCCAGTCTTGAAGTAACTTTCTTGATTAGACAAAGATTTGTGTCATAACTGAACATCATGTTCTCCAAGGCAGCAAAAATGCAGTTCCACAGAGACATATTTTCTTTTGAAAAGTAGAGGAAAGAGCCTTTTTTTTAAAAAAAAAAAAAAAAAAGAAGGAAAAAAAGAACAATATGTGCTAAGGAACATTAGGCCTTGCTTTGGAAGTCTTTAAATACCATGTGTTGGAAGGTTATGTTTCAAAGCAACATCAAACATGGGAGCAGGAAGCTCAGTGACCTCACCGTATTTGTCCCTTTCTGGTTGCTAGAGAAGTGTATTGAAAACTCATCTCAGGAAATGAGGTAGCAATAAAACTAATGATCAATCACAGAACTAATCAGATTCTGGGTCTCCACAGACCTTACCCCTAGCCTTACACCTATATTTCAAAAGGTAAGAGTGTGTTCTCAAAGACCAAGTGCTGGGAATATTCCTGTTCCGTATTAAAAGGCTGCCAAGGCTGGAAGCTGGGTTCTTTGCCTCCCACACTAACAGGACCAAAGAAGACCCCAAACTTAGAAGGACCTACTGAGGCATCCCTGCTCTTTCACTGGTACACTAAGACTGTTTTTTACCATATGGGATCACTTACATCTTGGGCAGCATAGGAAATAATGGCACGAGCTGATGAGTCTCACAGAGCAGCCACAGCCACCTCTGGCAGGAAGAATGTGTAATTCACAAAAGAGTTTGTGGCAAATAACAGTCACTGGGTTCCCACTTGACTTGTAGGATGGGTATTTTCTGGGGTGACCCTGACAGAAGGGGCAGTGCCCAGAGGCAGGCTGTAACTTAGGACTCTGGAATGCTTTACTTTGATACTTCACACTACTTGTTTCCTTTCATTGCCACACATGCACAGGTTGATTTACTCCAGACCTGATCCTTCAACACCCTTCCACTCAGGCTGAGCTACACTCACTCATATTAGCAGCCCCATTTAGCATTTAGATGTGAAATCATCATGACTTCTCATAAAGATTGCAGGTTTGGATTGCTATAATTACCCTTCACAGTGATGCATGAGAGCTTGAGACACATCACATTGAGCCTACAACGACCTGGGGTCCTTTCAAACTGACAGCTACCATTCTGAGAGTGAAGTTTAAACACACAACAAATGGTAAGGCTCCAGAAAACAAGAGTCTGCAGAGGAGGGAGGGGCAGAGGCAGGAAAGCCTCAGGCTGTGTCTCCCCCAAGTAGCCAAACTGAGCTTTGGATACAAAACTGAAGTACCTGGGAATACAGTTCCTTGCCTTGCTTGCAATTCCCCGTAGCACAATACTTATTTCTCAGTACCTAACCTTGTTTTTTCTTCCCTTCTATGTATTTTTTGTGCTACATCTTTTCCTCTACACTCTCCTTCATATTTACCTTAAATTTACTTCCTCAGCAGTCGATACCATCAGTTATCCTGCTGCTAGCAAGCATCCTTCCCTTAGCCCTGTAACTTGCACTCTCCAAATTAACAGCAACTCTTTAATAGACACTATTCACCTTGCAGTTTTCTTGTTAGCTCTTCAGTCAGCTCAGACGTTGCATACTTAGCCAGGAATTCAGTCATTTGAGCTCTGCAACTTAAAATAGTAACCTAAAGTCTTGGATAGACTCATAATAGAAACGGTATCTACTCTAGGAAAAGAGACCTTTAAGAAGAGCAGCTTAACACCTGCATTTGTCCCTCTGAAAGCACATAAAAGGGAGGTGCCTGCTCTGCTCAGGAGGTGAACTGTGGCCTGAGGGGCAGCAGAGCTTGGAGGGGATGCAGAGAAGGGTGAGTTTCTGGTATCTGGCACTAAATGAAGAGAGTCCAGGGCTTAGGGAGCTGAGCTCTAGCAGAGAACAGAGCTTAGAGCAAATTAGTGAGCAGGGCAGTTATGGAGAGGTGATTTCTTATGAAGTATGTTGAACCTTGGAGCATGCTGGAGTTTCTGGGAAAAGTAAAAAGAGTAAGGTTGTTGCTTTGTGGGAACTGAAGTGAGCTGTGGGTACACGTATGTCTGCAGTGGGGAGAGAGCCAAGGCTAGGAGCTGACACACACACACATCCTTCTCTTTGCCTCTGCCTGCTCAGAAAGGGAAAACTCAGTGTTAACATCTGAAGGGAGAGGTTATATGAATGCTAAGGATAAGGAGCAGTACAGGGACACTACAAAAATGCTTTCAAGGGATCTTTAGCATTCACCAGAATAATCCCTGTAAAACAGATGGCAAAGCAGTTTAATATTCTGCCTGAAGGACAACTCCTCCAGCAAAACATCCTCACCCCCAGAGCTCCTTTCTGCTGGCAGCAATGGGAAGGTGCCCAAGATCCTACAGTGACCATAAGGACACTCTGCAGTCACAAAGCTGACTGTAAAAAACACCCTGAGAGGAAACTTTCTGCGCTGAAAGGAGAAATAAAATGCTCCTGATAGGTTTTTGTGAAGTTCTGATCTCACACTCTTAATGAGAATGCAATTAATGGATCCATTTGTACACATGAAGGACCAGATTTTTGAGTTGCTTAATAACTCCCAGCTCCCAGGGGTGCAGTATCCTGGATTCCAGGCAGCCAGCAGCTACACAAATCCTGTTAGACAGACTGACTACTGCAGCAACATCAGATCACCATGTCTCTAAATGGAGGTGAGACGTTGCAGTGCATGAGGCACAGCTCTGTGCTGCAGGCTGAGCATCCCTGGGTCTGTCCCTTGGCTCCTTGGCATTTTTGCATCCCTCCAGACTGCAGGTGGGACCAGCACAGCTTTCCTCTGCTGTGAATTGCAGGGGGGTTGCTCAGACCCCTCGCAGCTGTGGCTGTATGAAGAGATGGCATTTGGTGACTCCAAAAGCCTCACTAC